AGCCAGGTTATGAAGAGTTTTGAATGTCAACTAGAAGATTTTACATTTGATCCGGGAGGTGATAGAGATCCACTGGAGTTTATTAACTAGGGTGGTGACTTGGTCAGACCTGAGCTTTAGGGGGTACTTTGATAGCTGAGTGAAGGATGGACTGGAGTGAAGACATACTTGTGGCAGAAAGACCAACCAGAATGCTATAGAAATAATCTAGGTATATGGTGATGAGGACATGAACCAGAGTGGTAGAAGTGTCAGCAGGGAGAGAAGGAGGTAGCAGTGTCAGAGTCATATAGAAGAAATTGTTACAAAGATAAAATCTACAAGCCATGGCAACAGATTAGGTATGGGGAGTAAGGGAGTGGGAAGAGCAGAGAGTGATACCCAGGTTTGAAGCCTGGGTGATTGGAAGGATGGTAGTTTCCTCCACAGTAATAGGGAAGTTTTGAAGGGGGCAGGGTTTAGGGGGAAGGATAATGAGTTCAGTGTGGGACTTGTCGAGCTTAAGAAGTTTATAGAATATTCAGTTTGAAATGTGCAATAGGCAATTGGAAATGCAAATCGTCAGCAGAGAGGTTGAGGCTGGTAAGTAGATTTGAAAATCATCAGCACAGAGATGATAATTGAATCCAAGCAAAATAATATAGAGAAAGAAGAGGGCCCAGGACAGTGGGCTACCCACAGTGAGTGTGAGCAAAGGAGATTGAGAAGAGCAGTCAGATAGGTAAGAGGAGGACCAGGAGAGAGCGGTGTCATGAAAATCTAAGGAAAAGAGAGTATAGGGGAGAAGAGGGCAACCAATAGTGTCAAAGGCTACAGAGGCTGGTGGTGGACAGTGAAAGGAATAAGTATATATATATATATATATATATATATATATATATATATATATATATATATATATTGCCTGCTTACTCAGCCACAGTGCTAAGCTCACTCCCTATCCCTATTTTATAACTGAGGAAACTGAAGCAAATGAATACTAAGTGACTTGGCCCTGGGTCAAATCAAATCAGTCCAAGTCTAGATTTGAACTCTGGTCTTCCTGAAAGCATTGTGACATTTAACTATCTCTCAGGAAGGATAACAATTGAGAAAAGCTATTAGATTTGCCAGTTAAGAGATCATTGATAACTATGGAAATTGAGTGGACTTCACTAACTCCATCTTGTGACTCAATTCTGGATCTAGCTCATTTCCGTCTCTATTCAAGTATGGGTCAAGTTCAATTCCTGCCTTGTGAGAAAACTTTATTGCATTGTTCGAACCTAGCCCTGCATGGCTGGGAAGCTGGATCACATCTACTACCTGTTGCTTAGAGACCCTCAACTAAGGACCTACATTTTGCTGACCAGAAACCCAGTCAGATTTGAAGATTGATGCAAGGAGTTTTCTCACACTTATACATCTTAAGCAACTCACGAGTCTTATCTGAAAATTCGCCCCTTACTGGTCCATCAATTACTGTTTCATTGTTTCTTTGATTGAATATAGACACTTGGGGGGGGGGACGGGACACATCTCTTTCTGATTTCAGAGAATTGCATCTGTTAGCTCTCCCTCTCCCACCAAATTCAAAAAGCCCTTAATCTTCCCTTCAATTAGAAATCAGATTACCTAATCCTGTATCCAGGTTTATGTCCTTTTAATTATTTTCTTTTGATGCATAAAAATCTGTTTTCTTCTGTATTTGGGGCTGAGTGGCAAGTTGAGGAGGCCTGGTCCCAATTTATGCAATTGGCATGCACTGCTTAATAAGTCAATATGTTCAGAAGCTTAAACTTTGTTTCCTCAGTTATTTCAGATTACACCCGTCATATAACTTTGGAGAGAGTAGTTTTAGTTAAAGATTGAATGATAAGATTGGAAGCCAGATTGTAGAGAGAGTTAAGAGAGTGAAAGAAGTAGAGGCACCTATTGTATGTAGCAGGCCTTCTCAATGAATTTAGCTACAAAAGGTAAGAGAAATATAGGGCAATAGTGGGGAATGGATGAATCAAGTGATAGTTTATAGAGGATAGGGGAGACATGGGCATGTTTGTAGGCAGTAGGGAAGGAACCAGTAGATAGGGAGAGTTTGAAGATAAAATGAGAGAGTGAGGATGATAAAGGAGACAATCTATTGGAGACAGGATGGAATGGGATCACTTGTGCATGTAGAAATGTAAGCCTTGGCATGGAGAAGGGCTAGCTCTTCATGTGAGACAAGGGTGAAGGAGGACATAGTGGCAGAAAGCATATGAGTGATATGAGATGAGGAGGAAGAAGAGGAGAGAAGAGGGAACTCTTGGTCAATTGCCTCAATTTTTTTCCCCAGTAAAATATGAGGCAAGGTTTTTAGCTGAGAAGATTAGAGAGGAAGAGCCATGGGAGATTTGAGGAGAGATGAAAAGGTTTGGAAGAGCCACTATGATGGATTGGATAGTGAGTTAGTTAAGGAAGAGAAAAAGGATTGCCTTGAGGCATTAAGGACCCAGTTGAGGTTATAGAATAAATTTGTAGTGGACCTAGTAAGTATGGCATTGTGATTTTCTCCACCTTCTTTCAGCAGCATATGTGTAAGGGTCGAGACAGCATTTGGGGAAAAGAGCCAAATCTGAGGTTTGGCTGAGCAAGACTGGCCCCTTGATAGGGGAGCAAGGAACCCAAGAAAAGAGGACAACATATAGTTGAACTGGTTCATCATGGGTTTAAGATGGGGAATGGAGGAGAGTGTAGTCAGTGCAGGGTGATAGCCTGGAAGAGAATTAAGAGTAGAGGGATTAGAGGTCACAGTGTAGATGAAGATCTATGAGAATGCACTTTCCTGCCCTTCCTTGCAAAAGTAGAGGATTATGGGTATGAACACTACATATAATTTTAGCCTTTTTTGATCAGCTTTGTTGAAATTTTTTTTCTATTTTTTATTGTAAGGATCATAGATGTAGAGCTTGAAGGGAATTTAGAGGTCATCTAGTCCCACCTCTTTATTATTTTTTTTCTGAAGCAATCGGGGTTATGTGACTTGCCCAGGGTCACACAACTAGCAAGCATCTGATCAAGCTCAGATCTTCCCAGATTCCAAATTCAGCTCTATCCACTAAATCAGGATGCCTGTCAAGGGAGGAGTAGGGTGATATTGGGAAAATGGAGGTGATGTAAAAAAAAATTAATAAACTTTTATTTTCATTTTTTATAAATATTTATGTAAGGATAAGAAATGTGTCTGATCAGGGACTAGGAGGCTAACCTTGAAGGCAGAAGGGTACAGAAGTCTGAGGGGGCTAAGCTGAGCTTTGTCTTTTTACAGAGGATATTGGAATTAGTGAATGGAAGATAATGAGTGACCCTTGGGCTCCTGAACAGTGGCCTGGTATTGGTGCAAGGCCCTAGCCAAGGATTTCTGTAACCTCAGACAATGTTTAAGCATGTGTCTAAGCTTGTGTTTTAGGAATTTTCTCTAGTGTCATTCACTCTCTGGCTCTAGGAAGAGGTAACCTTTTACATTTACTCTTTAGCCAGGCTTCCAAGAAGGAGTGACAGTAGGCCGTACCTAAGAAAGGTCAGAAAAGGATTTAGCCCTAGGCTAAACTAATCTGGCTCTTAACCAGCTGGGCCGCTGCCACAGAGGCTTGCCAGGAGCTCTGAAAGACATCACCCAGTGAAATGGCTGTCCCCTCTGAGTTCCCGTAGGTTTTTTCTTGACAATTTCCTTGAGATCTTCAAGCCTCCCCATAGAAACCCTGGCTTGGAAGAGTCCTCCAGGGAGCCAGCAGGAATGGTAGGGAGAACGGATAGGCTCCTAAAAAGCTTGGATTCAAATTGCAGTGAAGACCCAAGGCTAAGGGGAAATCAAAGCCATACAGGATGCATGCTTTCATTTAGCAGTTGAGAAATCGTCCTTGCTAGGTGTCAGTCCTACTTACCTTGGGCTCTGGTAGCTGGACAGCCAGAGTTTTTCTTCTAGGAATGGGAAGGGAGGGGTTCCACTGAACCATCCACCTTGCCCTTACCCAGTCAACCTTGTCACCAGTGCTACATTCAAGACACTGAGAGCTGGGAGCCAGTGGAGTGAAAAAAGAAACACTGGTCCTGGAGTCTGAAGACTTGGATTCAAATCCACAATTACAGCTTCTGATACCAAGAACAAGTTATCTTCCAGAGTCTTAATTCCTTAACTGAGTAGTACCATTATTTTCTTAGAAGAATAATGCAGGTAACCTCCTTTACTAGAGAGGGTGATAGTGAAGATGGCTAGCCCTTGGTAAACTTTAAGGCACTATGCAAATATGGGCTATTATTTTTAACAGCGCGCATTGTTATGCTAACGTGATGGAGGGAGGGTTAAAATGAGAAGAGTAATTGTCCACGTGGGGTCCAAAGACATCCCACCCCATACTCCTAGACTGCAGACTACTAGATCTTTGTCCTGCCATCGTAGATAAGACTGTATCCCACTTAGAGACCAAGGATAGGGTGTATGTATGGGGTAGGGACATATATATGGGGAAGTGGAATGTAAGTCCCTAATTCTCCCCCATTTTCTCTTCCCACCCCCATAAACAATATGTTAGCATTATAAGATTTAGAACTGGAAGGGGCCTTAGAGATAATTTGGTCCAATCGCCCCATTTTACAGATATGGAAACTGAGGCCCAGCAGGGTACCAAAGACTGCGGTTTTCCTTTTGCAGAAAGCTCTAAGACTTGAAGGCTAGCTCTGGTCTGCAGGGCTTTTCCTTGGGGTATGGCACTTAAATGGACCCAAAGGTGCTGATCCTTTCTCCCTGCCTCCCCGGGACTTCGGCCCCGGGTCTTCATCCCCGAAGAGCCTAAGGAACGCCCCCGCCCAGCTCGGAGCCCTCGGTCTCTCCGCCCCTCCCGTCCTGGAGGACCTCGGGTGGACACTCTTGCCCCGCGCTTCTCGCTGGTTAGGGCTGGGCGGAGTCTGTGGTGCCCGGCCAGGGAAGCGGAGGGGTGGGACACTCTGGCCCGGCTCTCGGTGGTGCGGGGGTGGGGGCGGAGGGAGCGGCCGCTCTGGCCGGCGGACTCGTTGGCGTGGAGTCCCGGAAGCGGAGCGGCGATGGCGGAGAGTCCGACTGAGGAGGCGGCGACTGCCGGGGCCGAGGCTGCGGGGACCCCGGGCCCGGGCGCGGGCGGCGGCGGCAGCGGCGGCTTCGGGCCGCCCTTCCTACCCGACATGTGGGCGGCGGCGGCGGCGGCGGGCGGCACGGGCGGGCCGGGGGGAGGCCTGGCCCCGCTGCCCGGGCTCCCGCCCTCGGCCGCTGCCCACGGGGCCGCGCTGCTCAGTCACTCGGCCTTCTGGGACCCGACGCTGAGCTCGGACTGGGACAGCGAGCGCGCCGCGCCGCAGTGCCTGCTGCGGATCAAGCGGTGAGTGCGGCCGAGCGAGGGCCGCCTGGCCCGGCCCGCCGCAGCCGCCGCTCCTCGCCGCCCCGGCCCCGGCCCCGGCCTGGGGGCCTCCCGAGCCCCTCGCCCAGGCTCCCCCATTTCCGATCCTCCCTTTTTCTCCTCCTGCCCCTTCAGCCTCCCCCCTTTCAGTTCTCAGCCCCCCCCACTCTCCCACCTCTTCTTCCTCTCTTCAAAATCCCCCCCGTTTCCCCCCTTCCTGCCCCCCCAACTCTTTCTCCAGTCCCAACTTTTCCCTGAGCTTTTCTCCCCAAGTTCCTTCCCTCCTCTCCCTCTTCATCTCCCTTTCTTTCCTTTAACCCTCCCTCCCTTCTCTCCAGCACCCACCCTCCCTTCTCCCCAATTCCCCTCCCTCTCTTCCCTTCTCTCCCCTCCCTCCCTTCTTCCCAATACCCCTTTCTCCTTTCCCCTCATCTCCCCTCACTCTCTTCTCCCCAACAGCCCTTCCTTCCCCCATTCTCTTTTCCCTCCCTTCCCTCTTTAAATTCTTTCTTCCCTTCTTCGCCCCTCTTTCCCCTCAAGCCTTCCTTCTGTCCTCTCCATTCTGTTCCTTAGCCATTCCCCTACCCCATCCCACATTTTTCTTTTTTCCTGGATCTTCAATTCCCTTACAGCAGGTATATACCATAAAAAGGTGCTACCACCTTTTCCCTTGCCTTTGTTGACGGAGGACAGCCTCCAGTCCTGAAACTTTTTTGTCCTGTTAAACTGTTTCTTCTCCCTCTTTCCCTGGCCAGCTCTAACCCTGTTATCCAGAGATCCCTACGCTCAGTATTTTGTAAGTTGATGCCACATATAGGCATTTTATTCTATCAGTGGAACCCTGATTCATTTCCCTTTCCCAACCTTTGTAATTCCTTAATCAAACCTCCAGCTATCCTTTATCTTTCTGCTCCCTAGCCATCTATCCTATTTGGACTAAATCTTTATTTTAGTGATTTCTGGTTCCTTCCCAATTGGGTCTGTTTCACTTGGGGTGTTTCATCTTGGCATTAACCTCAGCTTTCCCCTAGTTCTGGAATGAGGTCCAAGGAGCCACTTGTACAAGTCCTCATATTTAATATTCCTAGTGTGTAACTCCCAGTAACCTCAGAAGAGCAAATCCCCCCATTTTTTCCTAAAGATAAATCTCTGTTTCATTCCATTGGTCTGTTTCCTGGACAGAAGACTATGTTTATCCTCATCCCTCACCCCATCTCCTAGGAAGATTCTCTTCTCCTACACATTTTTGTTGTGAAGTAGGCATAGTAATTTTGTTGTGTATCTTTTGGAATTAGTTGTATTTCCTTACATTCACATTTTCTTTTCAGTTGGTAACATTTTATTTACAATTCATCCTGAATTTTTTTTTTGCATCTGGAAATATTTGGGAGCGTGCAGCAAATGAATTATCATACAACTAGGTGTTTTTCCATACTGATTTCTGATGCCATTGTAATCTCCCATTTTCCTTCTTGCCACCTCCTCCTGATGAAATAATGCCCCTTTTGATAACACTTGGTTTTCTGATTCCTTCCCATGTATCCAACCTGAGAATCCTTGGCCTGTGAGCCAGTGCAAACACTTGTGGTACCACACACTTAGTTCTCACTCCTCTTCCCATTATATCAGCAACTCCTTTGCTTAAGGGCTTTCCCATCCTTACCGCTATTTCACCCTTTGTTGTTATACAGGGACATCATGTCCATTTATAAGGAGCCGCCACCGGGAATGTTTGTTGTGCCTGATCCCCTTGACATGACAAAGGTGGGTGATTCCATTGAGGGGATGAATGCAGCCTTCTTTCCCCTTGACCTTCAGATAGATAAATATTGTTGGCTGTCAAATCCAGGAAGGATTGCAAGGGGGGCGGGGAAGTCTCTGCCTGGATTATAGCTGTGTTTAGGGTCTTGACTAGGTTACTATTAATAATGCCTGGTTTGGTATACTGTCTCTTGCAACATAGAAGCATTAAACATTTATTAAGTCCCCTGTTGGATACAACATAATGTACTAGGTATAGGGGGCTACAAAAGTTAAAACAGCCCCTGTTCTGAAGAAAGCACCCTGAAACCTTAGTGAGTCTAAGGTCTAAGCCTAAAATCCCCAGGCATGTAGACACTTTGGCTTCTCTGCTATCCCTAGCCCCACCCTTGAAAGTAGGTTCACACCTAAACCTATGTCAGGCAGAAATGAGTTGCTTAAAGAGCACACCTCTGCTTTCATATTGCCTGAAGCAAAAATTCAGCCTGTAAATTGTTAGTATGGTCTTAGTTACTTTGAATAAACTTTTAAATTGATTTTTTTAGTCTTTAATGTGGTTGAAAATGTTTTTACTGGCATATCTTGTCCCTAGTAAAATGCCAAGGACATTAGCTATATAGCCCTTTAGGTCCCAGAATTTGTGCCCTGTTCAGGCCAGCTGGGTTTGCTATTCAAGATCATCCTAGGGGTGCAGTTTGGGGGATCACCTGGGCAGTATGTGGGTTCAGTTCTGCGGGGCATTGTGTTAAAGAACTCTTCCCTTTGATTTCCAAATTCTTGACAGATGTCTTTGAATGTTAGTAAGATATCTGAGGTTTTTCTAGTCCTAACACTATGTGAATCTGATATAAATTCAAGTTCCCACACCCAGGGAAGGAGAAATTAGCCATTAATTGTGACTGTACATTATAGAAATCCCCATTTCTGAAATTGAAGGTCCTTTGAAGACCTAATTGTATAATGCTGCTGTATGGTCTTCCTCTTTGCAAATCATCTTCTCCCCCTCAATTTGATCAACAAGAGAGGAAGCTGTTGACTTAGCTGTCTACCTCACCTCCAAATCTATCCCTAACCTGTTAAAGCATCCAACCCCTATCTTCCATTGATCCTGCCCTTCAACTCAGGGAAATGAAGTAGAATTTTGTTAAATTCTAGGTAGAATTTCTGCTTAAGATGGAAATTTTCTATATTTCTGGGAAGTTTCTTAAATGAGAATAGGATACCTGTGCCATATGGTGAGGTTATAGGATGGGGTTACAAGAATGTAAGGGGCCCTGCCCTGTGGCATGTGCAGTGGCATGGGCATGGGAGGGTTTGGGGTGGGGGACACTGCCACACAGTTTTGAGATGGTGCGCAAGATGGGCTTTTGTTTTGCAGATTCATGCATTGATCACAGGCCCATTTGACACTCCTTATGAAGGGGGTTTCTTCTTGTTCGTGTTTCGCTGTCCTCCAGATTATCCTATCCACCCACCAAGGGTCAAACTGATGACAACGGGCAATAACACAGTGAGGTTTAACCCCAACTTCTACCGCAATGGGAAAGTCTGCCTGAGTATTCTGGGGTAAGAGGAGAGACTTCCAATTAGCTGAGCTGGGAGCCAGAGATTCTTGCAGGCTATTTTAGGTTGTGGGTATCTATTCTGCCTCTCTCAATAAATGGATGTAATTTTTTTTTATAGTTAGGTTAAAATTTTTGCATCAGAGATTGGAACCACGTCACATGTCAACCAAGCACATAAAAATTCTGGGCTCATCTTTTTGTTTGGGTACTGTTAATCCCAATCTCATTTCCCAACGTAGAGTCCCCGTCCTTGCCCTGAGAAGGTTAGAAATTCAGAAAGATGATATGAAAAAAAGAATTCTGACTATGGATTCAGAGCACCTAGGTTCAAATCCTGCCCCTGATGCTTACTCTCTGCATATCTTGGGCCTTAACCTCCATGGGCCTCAATTTCTTTACCTGTAAAATGGACTAGATGACCTCTGAGGTTCCTCCCAGTTCTAGATCTTTTTTCCTTTGTTGCAGATGTAAAAAGTTTTGAAGGGTTCCTTTTTATTTGGGGAATTAGGAGAGTGGGAAAATTAAGACTACTTTGTCTCTTCTATCCCTTCCTGTGACTTGAAACCAGACCCACCACCAGGCTTGTGTGGCAGCTGATCCTGGGAGTCAGAGTACTGGGTCAGTGGCAAGATCCATTTTTAATATTCCTTCAGAGACTCAAAGTGGGTAATGGTGGTAGAGTCTGGAAGAGAAGGATTTAAAGAGACCTATTATGACAAGATAACTAAACCCCAGGGGGAAAACATTCAAGCTCTGTTACCTGTAGAAATGGAAAAGATAATCCATAATAGTGAGTAACCCAAAAATCATTTCTATTTAAAATCACTTTCCTGGAAGTGTAATATGGATATTACTTCCTGGTTATGTTTTGCTTAGGCCAATGCAAACATTTCGTGGGCTGACACCAAATGATGGCAAAGCCAGGGGAAGGAAAAGGATACAGGATGGCTAGAAGTTGTTGGGTCCAGGGAGAGACCAGCCTGAGCCTGGAAATTTGTTAAAGAGAATCTACAAAGCAGAAAATTCCCATTAGGTTCAGGAGTTAACTGTGTTACTACAATGGAGATTTTTTGTGACTTCAGGTGTTATTTACTGACCAGGGACGTTTAATCATGTAAGAATCTGCTTTGTTCCAAGGTCATGAGTCTCTTGGTATATAAAGACCAGGAATTGAGGATGGTTTTGAAATGGGATTGCCAAACAGAGTCAAGAAAGAGAGCAGAGCTGGTGGAGAGCGGGGCGGGGTGGCTTTTGAAACTAGCAGTTTTGATGAGGCTAATGGGAAGAATCACTTATGTTTTTGCCCATGAGTTAAGACTGGGAAAGGAAAGTGGTCATGAAGCTTGTGTTTATGCCCCAGCCTCAGAACCTTCTTTGCCTTGTCAGTCTGCAGCAAATATTTCTAATGTCACTTCTTGTTTTGCTGTCATTTCTGCATACTGGGCTGTGATCATGCAGGTTTAACTGTGCCTAGCCCAGATCCCTGTGGAGGAAAGGAAGTCTTTAGTTGTTCTTCCCTTCATTGGAAGATGCTGTGTTACGTTGCTATTTCTGTGAGCCTTGGAGGCCTCTCCCCTTAGTCTTTTCTCATTGCTTGCCATGGCTCTACAAACCTTAGAGAACCTGATACTCCCTAGATTCCAAGTATGGGACAGGAACCTAGATGTGTCTATGTTTTTGGCTTCATCAACCTCCCTGCAACCTCACCCCTCCCAAGAGGTCTGTGCATCTTTCTTCTCCATGTCTTCCCATTCCTCAAAAATTAAAAAAAATCCACTTTTCACTTGTAATGAGTATTTGCTAACTTAGATGTTCATTATACTTGGAGGCATTTTCTAATTGACCGCATTTCCAAGTTAGTCTTTCCTTCTGTGGCTCCTGTTAAATCAGATTTCCTTGATCAGCTGAAAGTCCATTAGAGTTATCCTGCCTGGTTTTCTGTCTTTTTTTCCCTCTGACCTGCTTTTTCGCCTTGAGATCGACTTACTTCCTTTTGAATTGGGGTAAGATGGAGACTGGGTGATTCCAGATTGCTAATAGTGAAAGAGAAAGGTTGAGTCTTGCTTCCAGGCCCCTAGTACTTTTGTACTGGCCTGAAGGAGCCATATCTGTCTTCCCCAGCCTCACCTTCTTCCCTTCCCCCTTTGCTGTGTTTTTCAGTACTTGGACTGGCCCTGCCTGGAGCCCAGCCCAGAGTATCTCCTCCGTGCTTATCTCCATCCAGTCACTAATGACTGAAAACCCCTACCACAATGAGCCTGGCTTTGAGCAGGTAAGCCTGCCTTCCAAGTGGGAGACATTGACTACTTTTAATGAGCTTTATGGAATCTGAGACCTTAGGAGGGGAGGGTCTTTTTGTCTTGTTTTAGGTGCATAATGTTGTCTGCTGCCTCCTGGGAGAGTAGGTGTAACTGCAGTAGAAAAGAGGGGCAGTTGGCATGTTAAACAAGTTAGTAGATTTGGGGCTGGCAATAATTTTAATTCTGGACACCTTAAATCTCTCAGTGAAGAGACTTAGTAGTAAGTGTGGCAATAATGAGATCTGTGTAATGTGCTTTCAGTTAACAAATCAATCCTAGGTAGGAGTTTACTTAATAAAGGCATTTGGAAGATTATTTCAGGGTCTTTGGGGGATTGCTGTCTGTGTCCAATGGATTCATGTCTACACTACCCCTGGCACAAGCTCGAGGTGTTCCCTGGGTTTTATACTGAGTTAGTTCCTCTCTTTTGGACCTTTGAAACAACTTTATCTCCTATAGGGCCAAAAGGATCATTAACAAGGGTAAGAATTAGTCTCTACACTGTAGAAATGTTATGTATTACCACCAAAAATAAGGTTAGGTAACATGCCTAAAAGATGGCAAACTAAATTAGATTATTTAAAGACCTGAATTAGTATCATCCAAACTGAAGGAGATATCTGGACTATTGGCTGTTTAAGAATGAAACAAATTTATTCCCTACTCTTAGGCAGGGAGTTAACCACATCTCCTAGATAACACCATTCTGCCCCAAATCATCCTTGCTTGTCTGATTTCAGAGGAAGAAAATTTTGGAATGGACCCCATTATAATAGTTGCAGCTGTTTGGAGACTGGTGTCTTTCCTATTTTAGGAAGTTGTGGCTCTGTAGGTTTGGAATTCTTTATAGCACTTCCAAACCTATGATTGAAACTGGAGCTGTCTCAGTGGTTTTTTTTTTCCCCCAGTCAGAAGTGGGTCGCCATGTATGATAAAAGAGTTAGGGGAAGAAAACTCTTGCCCCCTCCTGCCCCTTTGTAGCACTCGGCCTCCATATCTGCCCAGACTTCTAGGTGGATATTTCTGATATGGTCCTGTGGTAGTGTCATCTGTTGGGTTTTTGCCATTGACTTTCCATCAATTAAAAAAAAATAATAATGGTAATTAGAGATTTACTTGAATGGGCATCACTATACATGTCTAGTAAAGATCCTGAAAATATAGCAGAGAGCTAGTAAGAAACTTCCTGCAGCTCCTGCCATTGTATCCTCTACTAGCTGAAGCCCTAGGATTCTCTGGGCATCTTTGGGCACCAGGACAGGTCAGCTTTGTTGCCCTGCTTTCCTGATCTGTTGGCCCAAATTGCATTGAATTAATCCCCATCCATCCTTTACCTGGCAGGCCTTCAACCTGAGATTGGAGCCCAAGATGGCCAAAGGAGCTTTGTTAGGTTTATACATAGCTTGGCTTCCACTGTTAGGGTGCTTAGTAACACTGGTAGAGTACAGTGGGGGAGGGAATAGTTTTTATACATAAGAATGCCTGCCCTGCATCTTCTGTCTTGTTCCTGACATGCAGTGCTTCCTTCCTTACCTTCACTCCCTGAAACTTCTATTGTTTAATGTAGGCACCTTGAGTATCAATGCCATTTGTCTTTCACCACAGGAGAGACACCCAGGAGACAGCAAAAACTACAATGAGTGTATCCGGCATGAGACCATCAGAGTGGCAGTCTGTGACATGCTGGAGGGAAAATGTCCCTGCCCTGAGCCCCTAAGGTATATGACAAAGAGAGTGACTGGGAGTGGGGAGCTCACTGACGGAGTAAGAATCACAGATCCTCAGTATGCAGAGCATTCTAGTATTGGCCATAGGAGAGAAAAATATAAGTCAACAAGCATTTACTAAGTACCTATATGTGCCTGGCACTGGGCTAATCCTGATGATACAAAAAAAGGCAAAAAACAGTCCCTGTCTTTTAACAATTATTTTATTTATTTTTAGTTTTCAACATTCACTTCCATAAGATTTTGAGTTCCAGATTTTCTCCCCATTTCTCACCTCCATCTACCCCAAGATGTCATGTAATTTGATGTAGGTTCCTCATATACACTCATATTAAACTTTTTTCACATTAGTCGTGTTGTAAAGAAAAATTAGAACCAATGGGAGAAACTATGCGAAAGAAGAAGCAAAAAAATAAAATAGAGCAAATAATATGCTTTGATTTGCATTCAGATTCCATAGTTCTTTCTCTGGATGTGGATAGCATTTTCCATCATGAATCTTTTGGCATTGTCTTAGATCCCTGCATTGCTAAGAAGAGATAAGTCTATCAGAGTTAGTCATCACACAGTGTGTCTGTTACTGGGTACAATGTTCTGGTTCTGCTCACTTCACTCAGCATCAGTTCATGTAAATCTTTCCAGGTTTTTCTGAAGTCCACCTGTTCATCATTTCTTATAGCACAATAATATTCCATTACATTCATACACCATAACTTGTTCAGCCATCTCCCAATTGATGGGCATCCCCTCAATTTCTAATTCTTTGCCACCACAAAAAGAGCTGCTATAAGTATTTTTGTACATGTGGGTCTTTTCCCCATTTGTATGATCTCTTTGGGATACAGACCTAGAAGTGGTATTGCTGGATCAAAGGGTAGGCACATTTTTATAACCTTTTGTACATAGTTCCAAATTGCTCTCCAGAATGGTTGGATCAGTTCACAACTCTGCCAACTGCATCAGCGTTCCAACTTTCCCATATCCTCTCCAGCATTTATCTTTTTCTTGTTTTGTCATGTTGGCCAATCTGGTAGGTATGATGTGGTACCTCAGAGTTGTTTTGATTTGCATTTCTCTGATCAATAGTGACTTAGAACATTTTTTTCATATGACTGTAGATAGCTTTAATTTCTTCCTCTGAAAGCTGCAACAGCCCCTGTCCTTAAGGAACTCATAGTCTGATGGGGGAGGTAACTTGCAAACAAGCGAGATAGATACAAGATTAATTGGAGATAATCTTAGAGGTCACCTAGGTGTGCAGTAGATAGAATGCTAGGCCTGGAGTCAGAAAGATTCTTTTTTCTGAGTTCAAATCTGGTCTCAGATACTTCCTAGCTGTGTGACCCTGGGCAAGTCACTTAACCCTGTTGACCTCAGTTTCCTCATCTGTAAAATTAGCTGGAGAAGGAAATGGCAAACCACTCCAGTATCTTTGCCAAGAAAACCCCTAATGGGGTCACCAAGAGTCACATACAACCGAAGAACAGCAACAGCAGTCTCAGAAGGAAGGTGTTAACATTAAGGAAGATGGAGAAAGATCTCTTGCAGAAGGTCAGATTTTTACCTAGGCCTTGAAACCAGGAGAGGGAGATGAAGAGGGAAAGCATTTCTGGCATGGGGGACAGCCAGAGATGGGAGTGTTTTGTGTAAGGAATAATAAACACAGAGGCCAGTATCATTAGATTAGAGTAAATGGGAAAAGGGTAAGGTATGAGCAGACTAGAAATGCAGGAAAGGGCCAGGTTATAAAGGGCTTTAAAAGCCGAACAGGATTTGATATTTGGTCCTGCAGACAATAGAGGGAGCCACTGGAGTTTACTGAATGAGGGAATGATGTCACACCATTGTTTTAGGGAGATCACTTTGATAGCAGACCAGCAGCCTATTGCAGTAGTCCAGGTCTGAGGTGATGAAGGCATGAACCAGGTGGTGGCATTATCGAAGGAGAGAAGGGGCCATATATCAGAGAAAGAAATGAGGCTCCTGCCTCTGGGAGGAGGGGATCTATTTGCTGTTCCCCAGGTTAGCGTATTTTCTGCCTGTCTGCCTTAAACAGAGTGTGCCGAGGATATGCTGCATCCTCACCTGTCCCTCAGAATCCTTAACATCCTTGAAGACTCAGCTTATGCACCAACTCCTTGGAGAAGCCATCCCCGATCTCTTTGTGCTTTGCTTGGTCCCTCAAATGGTCCCAGACACTTGTTTGTGAACATGTGAATCCCCCTTAATAGAATGGAAGCGCTTTGAGAGCAAGGATTATTATTATTATTTTTTTTTATCTCTAATACCTTGTGTATACAGTAACCAGTGCTTAGTAAATGCTTATTGAATTAGATTGGACAAAGAACTTATATTAATGAAAAGTATTTATTCAGGAACAGTTAAAAAACAATATAAAAGCAGGTGAGTAGCATGCAGGCTGATTGTAAATGTTGGGAAGAGGTAAGCTTTTTCACAGAAATGGGAAGATGATGAGTATGGAGTATTGCATACACTCTCATACTTGGTTGATGTGTTGATGGTTTTGCTGAACGCTCTTTTCTTTTTTTACTCCATGTTACAAGAAATATTTTGCAGGGGAGGGGAAAGGGATATATATTCAGACACAAATATATTCATTTTTAAAAGCAGAGGTAGTAATGAATAAGCTTGGGTTGGGCAACAGAAGACAGATTGAGTTCAGGTTTCCATACTGTTCACGGTTGGAGTCATTCCAATGACCACACTGCCTGGGAAGTTAAGTGTGGATTGTGGAGCTTACCAAACTTGGCATCTTGTCCCAATTGCCTTTTTGTCAAGGGCTGGGATAGAAAGTTGGAGTATATGTTGAATCTAGCTGTAAGGTGGGGAGACAGGGCTAGTGTGGGCATAGAGTCCCTTCTCTCTCATTCTGCAAGCCCATGACCTTGTGTTCACCTTTGTCTTCCAGGGGCGTGATGGAGAAATCCTTTATGGAGTATTATGACTTCTATGAGGTGGTGTGCAAAGACCGACTACACCTCCAAGGCCAGACAATGCAGGTAGAGCAGCTCTCTGGGCGTTGGGAAGTGGGAAGGGGTCAGGATGAGGATTGGGACACAGCTGAACAGGATGGAGAGAGGGAGGGATGTACTGACAAACCGGGCATGGCATCAGCCTCCTGGCTAACTGAAAAGGATGGAGAAGTAAAAGGACCTGGGAGAATAGGTTTGGAGGGGAGCACTGTGTAACCCAGTTCAAGCATTTGAAGGAATGGTGGTCCATTGTTGGTTCTTTGATGGGGAAGAAGCTCCTTAATGTGAAAAATTACTCTAGATGAATAGAAGAACTCACAAATCCAAACACAGGTGACTGAGAGGGCATTTGAAATACTTCCCTGATAAATCCCCTATCTCTGAGTGTTTTGGTTGGTCTTAGGCTGAAGGATGGGATAGATTTGGTGGCTTGTTAAGGCCTTTTTCTAGCTCTTTGGCAACTGCTTGGGTAAATTTCTTCCTTCCTTTTGTCCTCACCAGTGGAGAGATCGGGAGGATTGTGACAATGTGAAACAACCATGTTTTAGAAATGTCAGATGTTCTGTTGGCTGAGGTGTGGCTCTTGGTACATGTTGCCTTTCACTTGCTCCAGGATTCAAGTGTCAGGGTGTAGTTAGGGCTATATTGCTTCCTGTTCCCATTTCTGATACATCTGAGAAGGGATATGTCCCCAGCATATTTTGCATTAGAAGCCATAACCTTCGTTGCTCAGCAGTTCCAGTATCAATCCTTAGAGGAAAAAGCATTTTTTTGACTAGACCTATGATTTCATTCCTTTACCTCCTTTGCAACTTTTTATAGGCTTAGCGAATTGCCTTAGGCACTGAGAAAATTATAAAGGGAGGGCCAGCACCTGGAAAGGAGGTGAGTGAGTGGGAATGAAGCTGAAGTCTGAAGGAAGGAAAGTTTGGAAAATTGATTGTTTCAAAGCAAGTATAGAGTGGAGGCTTTCTGGATGTAACTCTGGGGAGTGAAAACTAGTTTGTAGTGGCTGTAGAAAGCCATAATGGAAAGAGTGGGGGGTGAGGTGGGGTTGTAAGAGAGGAGCTGACAGAAGTGATTGGATAGCTTTTGGTATGATGTCAACAGCAAGTCCCTAATTGGTCAGTTATGGAACCTGTCAGTTCCTGTGTGAGATACCTGCACTCTATCCTGTCTCACCAGCATTCCAGTTCTTCCTCTTTATGGGTGGTCAGCTTCTGTCTACTGATTTGGTCTCCCTGCTTCTACCCTTTCTCATCCTCTGAAGTAGACTTTGAAATTTATATAAAATAGTTTGTGATTCCTGACTTAGGGTAACAAAAGCAGAATCAAGGATAGAAGGTACTTATATAAGGAAGAGGAGGAATCTTGGCAGGACTGGGTTGGTGGGTCTGCAAATAGAGACAGAGGCTTAATTTTTTTTTCCAGTGGCTAGGGACATAAACTTTACACATTTTAATAACCAGATAAACTTGAAAAGTCCAGTTATTCTGACTCTCCTGACTTTAGGAATAAAGCATAATCTTCATTTTTTTCCTGGGGATGTTATAAAAACTCAGCACTCCTGTGCTCTGCATATGAATTATCTAAGATGATTATGCAATTCCAGTGCATCTCCCTTTTAGCCCTTTCCCCATTGTTTGCAGTATGCATTTGGGAAAATAAACGCATTTTAATATATGTCTTGGCCAAATATCCCTGGGGAGGTAAGGCGTGGGCGGTGGGATGAGGGAATTGGGTTCAGAACTTTGAGAAAACATTCTTAAACCCTAAATGGAGGTTTTTGTATTGCTTGCAGTACTTTGCTCTCCTCAGGGAGAGAAGCTCCTGGGGAGCTATTCTTGCTTCCATGGGGTCCTATTATTGTCTCTGATATGAACAATTCAAATCTGACTTTTTTCCATTATCTCTTCCCTCAGGATCCTTTTGGGGAGAAGCGAGGCCACTTTGACTACCAGTCTCTCCTGATTCGCCTCGGGGCAATTCGTCTGAAGGTGCAGGAGAAACATCAGCAGGACAGTGCTGAAATAGACTCTGATAGCAGTTCATCTGAAACAGAGACAGATACGCAGGGGAGCTCAAGGGCCTAGATGCCTCCCACCCCATCCTTGGGATGGAGCAGCACCACATCTCCCTCCAGCCCCAACAGCATCCTGCCTGAGGCAAGAACCAAGGACACTCGGACCCCAGGGTGGGAGTGGGCTGTTGTTTGCAACCTTCTTGGCATCCTGGTACCAAGGACCATTTTCATCCCATGCCTAGGGCCAATCCCAAGGTACTGATACAGGAGAGCCTGGAGCATGGTTCTCTGGCAAAAAAACTGATGGACATTTCCACTGGGGCAGTTTGTTGGGGATAGAAGGCAAAGACTGCAACTCCCAGAGGGGGTTGCTCAGAATAGTCAATGGGGATACCAGGAGGGGGGCAGGGTCTAGGGAGTGGGGAGGGAGGGAAACGGGGAGGGTGTCACATGACCTGTCCAGGTGTTTGTCTGGGTGTCTGTCTTTCAGTCTTGAAGCTGGGCGTTCCCCTTGCTTAACCTAGCCCAGCCTAGTGTAATCTCCTGGACCTCATTTCCTGTCTGCCACCATAATTTTCTTTTCCCTAATATATAGTCACTGTTCTAGACAGACCAAAGAGAAGGAACAGTGGTGGAGTCTGGGCTACTGGTCAGAAAGCTTTACCTAGCACCCAAGCACCTTTCTCTCCTGCCTCTTCCCTACTCCCTTCTGCTGCCATTAGATGGAGATTTGATTGAGACCAACGAGAGGTCTTTGCAAGTCCAGCGCAGGCGCCGTGGAAACTGAAAATACTATTTGTTCCCACAATCACTGATTCTCATGGAAAAGTCCTCAACACTGGCAGCTGCTGTCCATTTGGGGTTAAAACCGTTACGAGGGAACGGTTTCTTCTGAATTCGCATCCAAACGAGGATATTCTTCCTTTGGAGTGACAAGGGGATTGACATTTTTTGAGGAGCGGATTGTCCAGCTCTTCTCCTTGGTGTTTGCACTCCAGTCTGTGGTTCCCTCACAACTTCACAGTACTTTGGGACCTGGGGGAAAGCAGTGGCGGCCAGTAGCAGAGGGGAAACAGGACTAAGACTGGAGGACTTTGTTCTGGGCTGTGCATGCTGCCAAATGTTGACTCTTGGCAGGAGAATCATCAGAGGGGAACTCATCCGCCAGCTTAGTTGGATGCTTGCAGGGCTAGCTCTCACTCTCCCTAGCTTTATTTAGCTGCAACAGTCCTTCTGGCTGGTTAACAGAGAAAGACATGCTTTGAGCACTGTAGTGCTGGGCATCTCTCCTCCTCCCTGTTTTGGTTCTGCCCCAGGCTTCCTACTGTATTGTTTCCCCATAGGGGCATCATCCACACAGCTGTCTAGCTAACCCTAAGGCTTTGGTCAGCATCCTAACTACCTGTGAGGGAGAATGACTGGATTCTGTGGAAGAGAGAGGTCAGAATTTAAAGGGCCTCTGCCTCATGAGTCAGATAATATATACTTTAGATCTGAGGTTCTAGAATAACCTAGAACTATATTTAACCTAAACACTTACCATTGTGGGGATGGAGCTTATTGGGCAACAGGGGGAGAATTCTTTGTAAGAGATGTAGGGCAGGAAACAGGGTAAAATGGGCTTGGGAGTAGGAAGAGAACCATAGGCAACCATTAGTCAAGATTGGTTGTTATTCCACTCAAAACAAGTTTCGAGGCTGCTAGTCCACCCAGATGTGTAGGTCTGGGATGAGCACTAGACTTGGCCTCCAAATTCCCTTAATATTGGAGCAGACACAGGGTCGTGGATGAGTGTTCTTGGTCTATAGATGCAGTGTTGTCCTTCTGCCATTTAAGTGTTTCTACTTCCAAGTGACAATCCTCTCCCTGATCCTGCCATGAGTAGAGTACCTCTGGCATCGTGGCCCAACTCTTATGCTCTAATCTTGAGTTGAGAAAATATATGCACAGAAGTCACTCAGAGACATCTTTATATCTGACTGTACATAAATGATTTTTTGTGCAATAAAGTTTGTTTTGGCAGAAGGAGGTTGCTGTGGGTGTGGAAGGGTCCATCAGGACCACCTCAGACAAGCATGGTACCCGTCACTGCTAGGCACATGGGTGGAGAGCACAGAATAACTGAACTGGAATATTAGGTGACATGGGCAAGGGGGATCCATTACCATAACAGGTTGCCTTCTTTGAAGATAATGCAGAAACCCATTACATTGTTGATAAGCTGTTGGTTATTGTTCTTGGAGGACAGATTGAGAAGGGAGTGCCTAGGAGCATGCCAGTTAGCAGCCATTAGAATCTTTGTCTGAGACTGATTGTCCTCATTGAGGATGTGGTTTAGTGGGAAGAAGGCCATCTCAGGCCCATAGAAACTTACTGGAAGATGGAGAAACCTGAGTCTTACATGGTGGAGGTGGGAGGATAGTAAAGGAAATGGTTTTTTGCCTAAATGATATTTCTGTCCCCTAGCTACTGTCCTGGACTAAGAGAGGAGCGAGCCCCTTTATGGATAATCTGAACTACTTTGGGGTGATATTTTGGCATAATATTTTTTATTATTTATTTAATAACTTCTATGCTGATTGAAGAAACAGTTCTGTGAAGACCCCAGGGGAGCACAAAGAGCCATCCAGCTTCTTTCAGCTCTGCTGCCTCTTGGGCAAAATGCTAATCTTCCTTCAAGGTAAAGGAAGTAATAAAGCATTTGGGCTTCTTGGCCCTTCCTGGTGACTCAGATGGTTGGTTGTAAGTGGGATAGGAGGGAATTTGATTTGGCAAATCAATGAATGAGCATTAAGCTAGTAAAAAGCCTGCTTATGGTTTGCATCCCTATAGATGTTTACAAAGCACTTAAAAGAATGGCCTGGGAGACCAACCCAGATTCCTGGGCTCAACTCATTTATGAATTTAGTAGAACTTCTAATTTTGTTCTACCTCTTTCATAGTTACTGTTAGGATAATAGTATTTTGAAAAACAAAAAAGAATATAAAAGTGCTAGGAATGACAACAGTTACAAGAACCTCCACTAATAGAAAACCTTAGGTATTAAAAAATCGTTGAGGAAGAGTGGCAACTTGGGACCGTTTTCTTACAAAAATGTTTATTGTTCAGGCTTCCTTGGTAGATCTTGCCCGGTCTTCCTCCATTCTTCCCACAGGTCTGCTTCCTCCTAGAGTCAGGGGAGGGCCTCCCTGGCTTCCTCAGCTGTGATTTCCTGGGAGTACAGGTCTGTGAAGAGAGCTGGCAGCCAGTAGTGTGCCTCCCCTGGAGCCTGCAGGTCCAGCCAGGCCAGCCCTTCTTTCAGTAGGTGCTCCTAGGGATAGAATAGATGAGTTTATATGGAAAAGATGGGTTTTGGAGGCTCTAAGACACAGCAGGCAAAGACTGCATTATGAGAAACACAATCTAGAAAAAGAGGAGGAAAGCACACCCTGGTCAGAACACAGAATGCAGTGTGACATTCTAGGTCCCAAATTTTATGAAAGACATTGAACAGCTAGATCCTATCTAGAGGAGGGCAGTCAGGGGGCTGAGGATGACTAGAGACTCTGCTATACAAGACTCATTTGAAGAACAGAGAGAGGGAAGATGGACAAGACTGCTGTCTTCAAGAGTTTGGAGAGCAAGTATGGAGGGAAATTAGATGCTCTGCTTGGCCCCAAAGGCTAGAATTGGGAAGTACTGAATGGAAGTTGCAGAGAGGAAATTTCATTCTATATAATGGAAAAACTTCTGAACAATCTGATCTGTTCAAAGTGGAATGAGCATCCTTGGGTGGTAGTGGGTTCCTCATTATTGGAGGCCTTCAGGAGGTGGCTGGTGACCACTTGGCAGGATGTTATAGTGGGAAGGGAGCTGGAACAGTCTCTAGACACAGTGCAGGAAGGAGCCACAGCCAAATTGAAATCTCCTTTTGCTTCAATGGGGTTTTTCACCCTAAACGATGCAGATGAGTGCCTTCACCACACTCATTGTACCTTCTACCTGCTTACTCCATGGTCTGAAATTATCTGTTTGGCTTTGTTCCTTAACCAAAGTGCAGAGAAAATGTCCTCTTATTTGCCTGGGTCATGGGAGGGAAATGAGGACTGGTCTTAGCATGAGATATTAGAAAGATCATGAAGTGATGGGACAACATAAGTTGCCTGAGATCACAGAGGAAGTTAATCTTGTTTATCAGCAAAACTGGAATAATCCCTGTCCTTACTACCTCACTGTATACTCCCAGTCTAGCTGGGGGGTAGGAATAGACCAGTTGATATTTGTATTATACTTGGAGGTTTACGATGGACTTTCCTTACAACAACCTGGTAAAGTAGATAGTGTAAGTATTACTGCCTTACCTCAGTTACAGATGGGGAAACTAAAGCCTGAGGTGTAATGACTTGCCCAGATACATAAGTAGTAGTAGAAGCAGGATTTGAACCCGTGTCCTTTGATTTTAAATTCAGTGCTCTTTCTACCGTACCAAAAGATGTGTAGAAAGTGCTCTGAAGAGGTAAAAAGTGATATACAAATGCTTGCAGGAGGAAGAGAAGAGGGCAGGACTGTACATCCTAGAGATGGATCTTGAGGTCAGTTGATTTAGTCTCCTGCCTTCCAGTACTATCATCATCAACTGCATTTTATAGATGATCTCTCTGGGGCCCACGGATGTTAGTTAATTGGCTTGTCAAAAATCAGCCACCTAATTAGTGGTAGAGACTAAAACCCAGGACATTCATAGAAAATTTTATTACACATATAAACTAACACCTATGCTGTGTAATGATATATACTGTTAATTCCCTTTCTTCTTAAGACAATGTTCCAATATATACACATGCACACACAGACACACATACACATAACACACACAAAATTTAGGTAATCTGACAGTTCAGTCAGGCTTCCCAAGGACCAAGAGAGGTCCCCCAGTAGCAACCTGCCTTCCTGTACACACTGTAAGTTACATAGTAATCCTAGCCCAAGGAAGGTATTGTCCGCATTTATTTCCTTGGAGTAACAGTTCTTAACCTTTTTTGTGTCATGACCCTCTTTGGCAGTCTGGTGAAGCCTACAGATCCTTTCTCAGAATGTTTTTTAAATGCAAATACACACAAACATACAAAAAAGAAAGCAATTCTATTAAAATAGCTATAAAATACTAAAAAGGAACATTCAGAGCCCCTGCCTTGGAGAAATATTAATCACCACTAGTGAAAACAGAATGACCACCATAAGAAAGGGGCCAATGGACAATCCGTAAGGACTCTATTGCTACTCTTCCTCAAAATGAACTAAAAGGATGAGTTCTCTGCTTTGCATGGTACTTCTGGGGCCCATCTCTCCTAACCATTCTAAGCACACTTACCAGCACTTGCCGAGCTCTCTCTGTCTCCCATTTGAGACTTGCTTTGATCTCACTGACTGTCACGTAACCATTTTTCTGGAGGAAGAACATGGTCCGATCAGCAGGGACTGTCTGCTTTCCCCTGACCCCCCCACCTGGCACAATGCTTTCCCCACTCTATCCCAGGAAAAAGGACTTGGATTATACTGGAGGTAGAGAAAATGGTAACTGGGCATAGCCCAAGCAGCAGTGTGTGTGTTGAGTTCATTCCAGAGTTAGAAAGGTCAAGTCCCAGGAAGGGTAAGAGTAAGATGATGAGCAAAATGTTGGCTAGTTTTGTTCTGGGAGTTTGAATGGCCAGTTATACTACAACTTGGATCAATTTACTTTTTTTAGGGACAAATTGGGGAGGGGACCATTCAGATGGCTGGTTATGGTCTCATCTAATATATTCCACCCACAAGAAATTTTTGCCTCTTAGCTAGTATTTACAAATAATTTATCATTTAAAAAAAAGTATTTAGAGCTAGAAGGGACCGTAAGGGCCAGGTCCAATTCCTTCATTTTACACATAAGAATGCTGAGGCCCAGGGTCACACAATAATAAGCACCAGGTCTGGACAACAAAGGCAGTGTGCTCTCTGAACTGTCCCCGGGGGCAGTTTGGTTTAGTGGCCTTGATTCTTGAAGCTGACACTGCAGCCTATGTGATCCCAGCCAAGTCACAACCCCTCATGCTGTAGGTGGCTCCCCTCCCCTAAGATAGAAATTGCAGATAAGGGATTGTCAAGGAAGTCTCCTTACCCAGGCAGAGGTCCAGGTCCAGACCCTATCCTTTATGTACCTGTTACCTGAGTAACTGACTCTTGGTTAAAAAACTTGATGAGTGTGGAGAGGAGGAATACAAGGAGAAATGGGGCAGCTGAGGTGTTTGGAGCTGTCTCCTTTCACCTCTGTGACCCTGCAGGAGCTGGGGAGGAGGGGGAAGGTACCTCTGCTAGCTGCAGCACCACAGTATGATCCATGTTGAGCTCAGCTGGAACCGACTGGACCAGGTAAGTGCCTCCCACAGGAATGATGCTGAAGCCAGTGCCCAGGGCCTTCAGTTTCTTGATGGCTCGGATGAGGTCATCTCTGAGTTGGGGGAGAAGTGATCCAAGGGCACTTGAATGACAACACCAACCACTCCTACCCCTTTAGTACTGCCCCCAGTTTGCTAGTGTGAAAGCATGAAAGAAAGAACCCCAAATATTCCAGAGCTAGAGATTTCAATCCTGTTACTCCACTCAGCAAAGAATCCAAACTTCTATCTCTACTCCCTCCCCTGGCCTTCAAAGAAGGCATCTTTGACCAGTCGTGGAGAAGGGAGGTCAGGGTCTGCTGGTGTGCTTACTCTAATCCCTCAGGATTGTTGTTATAAGAGCTGCTTGAGCCTCATCCATTTACACTCTCTTCATTCACAGTCGATGAGCAGTGGGTCTGAGTAGTATGTATGGCTAGCAATCCTTTATTGTTCCCTTCTTTTCTGAAGATCTATTGCTCCATGCTCTCATACTTGGGGGCTGGCTCCTTGGGAACCTACCATATATCACTATGTATAATACACAATCACCCTCTTATCCTCCCCCAAATTAAAGTCAGGAATATTTTAGGTCAAGGGAGTCTTGAAATGGGGACCATAAACTTGTGTTTTTAAAA